AAAACAATCCAAAAATTCATTTGGAACAAGAGACTCAGAATAGCAAAAGCAATTCTAGGTAACAGAGACATGGCAGGGGGTATCACGATCTCCATCCTGCAACTATACTACAAAGCTACCATGATAAAAACAGCATGTTACTGGCAAAGAAACAGACCTGAGGACCAGTGGAACAGATTAGAAGATGCAGAAACGCCAGCCACACTCAGCCCTCTTATCTTCGATAAAGGAGCCAAACACCCTCACTGGAGGAAAGAGACCCTCTTTAACAAATGGTGCTGGAAAAATTGGGTTTCAACTTGCCAAAGATTAAAACTAGACCTATATCTCTCACCATGCACTAAACTAAAATCAAAATGGATTAAAGATCTAACTCTTAAAATAGAAACGCTGAACCAGCTGGAACAGATGTTAGGTAGAACTCTTGAAGACATTGGTGCAGGAAAAGATTTTATGAACAAGACCTTCATTTTCAATTAAGTTATAGCAGGTTAGAGCAGCCCAATGGTCCTGCTCCAACCAGAAAAGGCTAAATTACATATCACTTTCTAAAGACATCAGAAAACTGGGGGGGCGGGGGGGGAATGAGCTAGATGGATTTGAATTCCAGAGAAGCCCTTCAGATTTTGGCATCTTTGAGACTAAATGTATCCATTACTCTCGTGCCCAAAAAAGGTTTCAACACTATCTCCACTACCTGAGCACATGAGCAAGTGTGTAAAATGAAGGGATTGGCCAAATGTTGGATAAACCAGCTCTATATCTCCTTTATTTTGCACTTTACTTAGAAGACCTTGAAAAAAAACAAATCTCAACCATCAGTCATGTATAGAAATGTGACTGAGTTTCGTGAGGAAGGAGTGGGACTAGCTGACCCCAGCTCAAAGGGTGCTATACAGACTTGGTGCTGGTGGCCTATGGAAACTTTCTGTAGGGTGTCAAGACAACAAACCAGATGTGCTGTTAAAATTTTTAGAAGACCCGTGAACACAAGAGGGAGAAACGCTACAAAATGTCTTTCAGGGAAAACCCAATATAAACTAATAGATAAGGTTGGTAATAGTGGATTATTTTAGTGGATTACAATTTGATTTAAGCTCCAAAAGTATCTCCAGTAAACCCTGCAACTGTGACTTTGAATGAAGTGTAATTTAGTCTAGTTGATCACAGGAGATAGCATGGAAAAAATTCATGTCTTTTTTTTTTCTTTTGGTACTGGGGATCGGACTCAAGACTTTGTGCTTGCCAGGCAGGTGGCGAAACCACTGAGCTAAATCCCTAGCCCTCATTTGTCTCTTTTAATAGATGGAAAATCATTCTGCTATATGTCAAGTGCTGAATTTAAAGCTCATGAACGTACTAGTCATACGAAAAAAATTTAGGTT